ATGGAGGAAGATTCAAATTTACAAAGTTAAATTAGTGGATATCAGAAAAAGATTTACAAAAGGATTCCTTCTGATAGCAAGCTCTCCCTGCGCACTTAAAATAAAATTTAATTTAAAATTATTTTATTTATTCTCAAATTTTCAGGAATGTCTCTCTCGTTTCTCCACCTTGCTTAATTAAACTTTGTCCAAAATTTCTCTGAGTTCAAACAATGATGATATGAAAACAGGCTACAATTTATTTTACTAAAAAAGACATTTTAGAAAAAGTGATTCCAGAATTTGTTTAGCAGGTTCACATCAACATACTGGATTTTTGTGTTGGCAGTGGTGGTGGTAGCATTTTGCTTTGGCTTAGTTTTGGGGTATGTTTTGTTTTGCTTTAATTTTTAATGCAAAGCTGAGATGCTTTCAGAGTCTAGGTCCTTTCATAATTGTTAATAATTATGGGGTGCCCCTCACAGTTTTTATAAACTATAGCAGGGATACCCTTTCTGCTGAAACTCAGTGGCTTCTTAAACTCCCATCCTCCCATGGTTTATCATGGGAGTCACCATATCCTAGGACTACACATCAGTTCTCCCTAGGAGATTCTGGAATACAGAGAAAATAATCTCTTTCTAGACACCTGGGTCATAATATGGGAAACATGGGTGTCAGCAGCCAGATGGAGCATGGAGTCAAAGTTGCTGTAACAGAAAAGATAATTCAGAAGCACTGAGGAAAGCTAAGAGATGGGGAGAAAGAAAGAAGAGCTTCTCAAGCCCGTCCAGTCTCTGGGTACCAGCCTGAGACCCAGCTGTACCCCTGACAAGATTCCAGCGACAGCCTAGAATACTCCAATAAACTGCCTTTTTTGTGTAAGTTAGTTCACTTTAGTCTCTTTCACTTGTAATCAAGAATCCCTCAATAGGGGGCTCTACAGTCCTTTCCATCGACTGATTTGAAAGAGGCAAGACAGAAATGTCCAGGTGCCGGGCCAAACCCGCTGGGTCTGCAAGCCAGGAGGAGGCAGGTGGCCCTGAAGATCCTGCTTCTGTGGCAGGGTGGCAGACAATAACCCCAACCACACACATCCTCGCCAGCGCCACAGGCCACCTCCTCTAGTTAACACACCAAGGACGCTAGTTTAAGGGGGGTAAGCTGTCCTCTATTCCACACCCCTGCTTGAGAGTATAAATCCAGAGAGACAGAGCAGCAAACCAAACCCAGAGAAATGCAGGCACAGCACCTCCATTTCACCTAGCCAGCTCCCATATGGGAAGGAAGCAAATTCCAGCTTAAAAACCAAAGGGACTTCACATTAGACAGAGCTTGTAGATGAGTTTTTATACATATTTGGCACAGGGAGAAGAGGCATCACTAGTACTCGGTTAAAATATCATGATGGTTGCATGGTAATATGAATGTAGTTAACATCACTAAACTATACATTTTAAACATGGTTAAAATGGTCAGTTTTGTTAAGTACATCTTACTACAATTGAAAAAAAACAAAATACATGACACATTAGAATTACAGAGACAGACTGAATCCCAGTAGCAAACACTATGCTTGGTGTTACATGTAACAGTCAGGAAAACAACGTGTTCCCTTGCCACAGGCAGGCAGCTCGGTGCAGAACTGGGGCTGTCTTAAACAGTCAGTTTGGGTGGGCAGAAAAGAGCCACGGTTTTTGGCTGGGTGGGGTGGGGAGTGCTGAATCCAAGCACTTCTGAAATTAGTAATAATGAAAACTCACTCCACACAGTCTATTTCCCCCCTCCTAATACCTGATCAGCACAGTCTTAACATTACCAATTCCTAAGTATTTCAACATAAACTCCTCAGAAGTCACTGCTGGTTTCCTACCAGCCATGAACAGATGGCAACCCAGAAGAGTCCTGTTCCCATTATGCCAACTTGGCGGGAGGCTCACCTGCCACCGCCTGGAACACCAATCCCTCCCACCTGTACACAGAAGGATCTCAAACACGACAGAAATCCTGCCTGGATGCCCACTGATCAGCATCCTTAAAAGCATGAGGGGAAGGAGCGTTACAACTCCACTAATTAATAAGCCTAGGGAGGGACCCCATTGCATCCTAATAAAATTACAGGAATACTGCAGCCTTCATTGCAGTTCCTCTCTACTGTTCAGGCAGGTTCCCCGCCTGATTACACTGGGATACAATCCAGTTTTGCTAATATATCCATATGTACAAGAATTATAGCAGATCTTACTGCATTAAACCTAGAGAAAAACCTTTGTGAGATGTTAAAACCTCAATTTCAATTTCAGCCACATTAATACATCCTTAAAATTTTATTTACAGTGAAACCATCTATCCTGTTTTATAACTCCAACAAGGACTTCTTGGCTGCAACTTTTTAACTTACATGATCAAACACTAAGAATGACAGACTGCGCACAAATTATGCCTAAATTAGAAAACATGAAAGCTGCCTCTGTGTGTGTGTATGTGTACACTTGGATACACACGCACATACATATACTGGCAAAGAGGAAGAAAAAAATCTAATTGTTTATTTCATCAGATTCCAAGCAGAAATGTTCTCCTGTGCTTTCTGGATGTACCTGCTGATCAGTAGCGCCTTAACCATGAACTGCCTGCCTGTCTGCTCAAATCAAACCTGACTCTTAGAATGTTAAGCCAAGGTTTTCTTTAGCAGTGGCAGCTTAACTATATAGCTCACTATCCTCCTGCCATACTCCATATTTAAACTCTTCAGTGGCCCTGCTCCTGCAATAAAGACCAAAATCCTTAAACGTGGAACCCAAGACTCCATATGAAAAAGGACCTCTCACCAAGGCCTCTGCATGTCCTCAGGGAAGCCATCTCTGACTAGACCAGATTCTACCATTATACCCTGTAGCTCTCCCTCAAGGTATGAATGAATGAATGAATGAATGAATGAATGAATGAATGAATGAATTTTCTAGCTGCTGCATAAGCAAATCATCAAAATACAGACTATGGAGAAAAGATTGATAGACTTGACTACATTGAAAATTAAAACTTTCTTACATCAAAATATGTCCTGAACAGAGCTAGAGTTGAAGAAAACCAGCAAACTGGGAAAATATTTGTAACATTAACACAAGAAAAGAGATTGTTATCCATAACATAGAAAACTTTTTATTTAAATAAAATAAAAGGCTACCTGCCTAGGAGCTCTATCTATCTGCTACAACTGCTTTCACACATGTTGAATCTGTGACCTATCCAAACTCTAAATCAGAGTCTCCCTAAACCACATGTTTTTTCCCATTCCATCCTCTGCCTCCAGTTCCCCTACCCTGGGGGTTCTGCTAGAGAGCAGAGCTTCAGTGCAGTTGTCCCCAGAAGCAGCTAATTTCTGTTTGATTTGTCTGACCACTCCTAACCAGTCTCCTTCTAGAACCCAAACCTTCTCCTCTTTATGAGCTGAGTATGTTAAGCTTAGCTATTTGAAAATAGGTCAAACCATAACCGGAAGTAGGAATCCTGGGAAGACTAAGGTGTGCAAACACTAGATTCAAATGTCAAAACTAGACTCAAATTTCTGTACCAGCCAATCAGGTGAACAGAAAAAAGAAAGCAGAAAAGCATTTGCCACAGGTGGGTGGTCACCTCCCACCAGGAGCCCCATATATTTGTATTTCTAGAGACATATTCAAAGAAAAAGCATCTTTTTAAATAAAATAGCTCCATCTAACTCAGCAGTTTATATTAGAACCAACCTGTCTTAGTAATTTTGTGGTTGTTATTTCTGTGTTTTTAAATTTAGAAGAGGACAGAGAATTTGGAGAAAGAATACACAGTAATCCCTCTTTATCCATGGGTGATACATTTCAAGACCCCCAGTAGATGCCTGAAATCACATAGCAGCAAACTCTGTATATGCTAAGGTTTTTCCTACACACATATCCTTATGATAAAGTTTAACTTACAAACTGGGAACAGTAAGAGGTTTACAATTTTAACAATACATTGTAATAAAAGTTATGTGAATGTGCTCTCTCTTGCAAAATATCTTAGTGTGCTGAACTCACTGTTTTTTCTCCCTGTGATCATGTCAGATGACAGTGACTCCATGACAAGATGAAGTGAGGTGAATGATATAGGCACTGTGACCTAGTGTTAGGCTACCACTGACCTTCTGACCCTAGATCATCTGCTTCCAGACTGTGGTTGACTGCAGGCAACTAAAACCACAGATAAGATGGAATTACCTTCTTCTTTCAAGATGTCCCCAGATACATATAGTTTACATTAAGTCAGAGTTGAAATCATATTAAGAATTAACATTAGTCATATTATCGTATTTAAAATTGAGGAGCAGAAAATTGTGAATCTCATATGACACTGAAGTTCCACATAAAAAATAATACAGAGGCCAACAAACAAAATATTTTTCACACAGAATAGAGTTGACCACGACTACAACTCCTAGACTATAAAAATTAGGTTGCTAAAAGTCTGTATCCCAGTTGATTAACTGTCTTCCAAAAAGCCTTAGGCAGACTTCTATGCCCTACTTATCTGGAGTTCCCTATGCTATAAGATAGTTCACTTCTCAAAATAACAGTATGTGGTAATGGTAGGTAAGGCCAGGTAGATGCAAAATGAATATAAGGAATTAAACTGAATATTAACTTCTCGAAGTTCATTGATGATCTGATTTGTAAATGCATCCACATCCCAGCATACCTCCTTCTTCGGGTATCTCACCTTGGGTCACTTCACTGCTCATTAGCACCAAAGGAGGTTCGACTCCAACCAGTTTTGCTAGTTATTAACAATCTCCTAGAAGGTTTGATAATAACTGACTAAAATTAAACAGTTAAAGTAATTGGCTTAAACTGACCTCCAGAGATTATTGGTATCTTTCATGTGGCACTGCTTACCCTCTCTCCCACAAAAAGTTCTGGCTGTCCTGTATACACCAGAGAAATGGATCAACTCCCCAAAGCCAAGCACATGCCATCTTTTTGTGTCATGTGAGAGAACTTTACCACTTGAATGTAGATGAAGGACAGCCAAGGAGATTCCATTTCCATGAGATTTGTCAGCCAAGGAGTCCACAGTTCTTTGCAGAACACAGAATGCTAAGAAAGGGAAGATAAGTTCATATACCAAGGCTCTCAGAATTAAAAACAATACTCTCCCCATTTCTGAACTATATGGTCAACCTTGAGACCACTATGTGTTTACAATGAAAGTATTAAATTCACAGAAAGCTGATTTCAAAGCACCTTATGAACATTATTGTTCCTATATATACCCTGTAAAGAAAAGCATTTGTAGCCCAGGAGGGACCTTCAATGGTACATAATATTTCTATATCCCATTTCCTGTACTTAAGTACACATAATTTACAAATCCTATTCACTACACGGTATCACAAAATTTTCCAAACCAACATTAAATTGATAAAAAACTTAGATAAATCTATTCCATATAGCAATGTAATTGTGCAGCTTGTTAACTGTCCAGAAAAGGTTTGGTAATGATTGGTTAAAAATTAAAGGCTGATGTAATTCAACAAAATCGAATTATGGTGATAATTTGTGGATGTCACATACCAGCACTTTGCTTTCCACTGATAACAGTCCCGGCTGTCATAGCCACTAGAATAGTGAGGAGGAGGGAGATGCAAAATCAAACACAAACAGGATGCCATAAATCCAAAAAGGCTGGAAATTGGTGCTCTAGGAAGCTATCGTGGATAGATTCTGGGCAGCACCCCAACCCACACTACTTAATTTATCAAGTCCCTTAGAATCAACGCTGGCTAAGGAGAGAAAACAATATGTGTGCCACTTTCCTTCTCACATCTGTCCTAGCATTAAAAATTATTACTAATGCAATAAGCAAACTGAGTTTTCTGTCTTTTGCTGAAAGTTGTGTTTTTATCCAAGCATTTCAAATATTACAGAATTTATTTTATTATTTAGATATAAGAAAATTAATTCAAAAAGATAACTTCCTACACAGGGAGATAAGACTGGGTTTCTCATTTCATGGGAAAAGATGACAAGAACAAAAATGAAAAGGATTCAAACTACTTGTAAAGAAAATGTGACTTGAGTTTTAACCACATTTATCCACCTGGTTGTCCCCAAGATTCAACTTCCTTAAACTCCTTTTCCAGATAAGGTAAACCCAGGTATGACTTTTTGAAGGCATTTTCCTCTAATCTAACAAATATTAATATATATTCATCCTTCTGATTATTTAACAATTCTCAACAGTAACTCTGGCAGCCTAAAATGTCAGCTTTGGTCAACCAGAGTTTTCAAACACAGCATAAACGTAACTTCTTATAATTTATGTTTTTATATTCTAGCCATTGGAGTTGAATTTGTCCATTTGGTTTTGTGGCTAAGAAGGTTGTCTGAAGCTTAGGAAACTGATTATGTGCAAAGATAAACCTGTATATTCTCAGCAAATGGTAACAATACTACTTACCAACTTTTCAGGAATATTAAAGCCGTCCCAGTACTAACAGCTCAACCTATCACTCACTGAGGACCACAGACACTAGCATTTTTGTCATAGCAATGAATAACAATGCCCTCTGTTCCCCAGAGAGGCAACATATACTCTTAATAGTCAAACATGAAGGAAAAATACAATGGGGGATAAAAACTTGGTACTGAAAGAGTTTCCTACAAAAGATTCTTGATTTCCCTTCCAAGAGAGAAAATCATCCACACACACAAATCAGAGGTAATTGCCTCAGAAATCTAAACTAATCTTCCTTTTTTCCTTTGCAAGAAACTGGTAAAAGAAACATTCAGTAGGATGAAAAATTTCTGAAGCCAGTGATATCCATTATAACATTTAAGTGGCATCTGAAGACACTGAGCAACTGTTTTTGAAAGCAGATACAAAAGAACCTTTGGAACCTACCATTCCAACCAGTAACTAGCAGGATCAATAGCTGAGACTTAAAAATAAAGTATGGAACTTCTGTCACAAACTTTATTCATTAAAAAGGCCAACTTCTCAACTTTAACCAGACATGAAAAATCTGATACATCAAAAATGTTAACCCAGTAGCTCTACTGTGCCCATTCCAAACTGGGAGAAGATGTTCAAGTGTTAAGACTATCAGAAGAATTAATGGCAGAAGTAATTGCAACAAGAAACACCTTATATGACACATCTCCAAATCCTTTCACATTCATTTAAGTTTAAATTGAGTCGCCGAGTTTTAAAAAATGGGAAATTATTATCTTAAATTTTAGTATGTTATCTTTTTCAATGTTCTTTCACATCATTTGACTCTAACCATGCTTGTGATTAAAAATAATACCAGTGAGAGACATGTTCAAATAAGTCTGTATTACCTGCACAGCACCACTGCACACATAACAGAATAATTTTCTATGCACAACCTACTACGCTATTATTATTAGAGGCTGTCCATAATCACTACTTTTCTGTTCTATTCTTAAAATACTGTTTCACTCAAGAGTGGGTATCACTGACAGCACTCAAGTACAAAGATTTCAATCCATACTCACTGACTTCAGAGAAATATATTTGATTTTAAATTAATCAAATTTAAAGAGAAAAATAGCAGTTTTTCAAATCCATAACTAACTCCAAATTTAAATTTTGACCCATCATTGTCTATGACAGCAAGAAACCAAAAAGAGTTGACTGGTTGGGATGAGCCTAACATGTCAAAAAGGGATGTTAAAGGGAAAAGGAAGCCCAAGTGTACCAGAGTTTGCAGTCATTTATAGAGATGTGGTAATCAATTCAATGTTTTTGAGCAAAAAAAAATATTGAATTTAAACTACATTGGTGGTGGGCATTTATTTCCTCGTCTTCTGCAATGTCTTCCTCCTTAGTTAAAAAGCACCCAAGTGTCCTTCTGACTCCTCCACCACTCCACGTGGTCTTCGTGGGAGGTCAGTTGGGAGCAATCCTACACACTGACATACACACACACATGCCAAAGAGTGGGCAAACCATCCAAACTAAGCCAATCAGAATCTCTATCCAGGAAAACTGAATCTTAGGACAGGAGAATGAAACCAGTTGGAGGAGTCTTTGAAACCACGGCGACCAAAACAGACTGTCCATTTGATGGTTCCCATGGCAACCACAACAGGCTGTCCACTTGATGGTTCCCAAAGTCTAGATCCTCACAGGCCTAGTTCTTGGTCTCCAAAGATAGATCCATATCATTATTTCCAATGCCTGCATGCAATGAAGGTACCACAATATTTCCTTAGGAAAAATTTCTAAATATGGACTTGCTAGATTAAAGGTTATGCAAATTTTACATTTTGATACATAACAGCAGCTATCTAAAATGAGTGCATCAGCTTATACCTCTACTGAGACTGAGTACACATTTCCCTTCATCTTCACCAGCACTGGGAGTTACTATCATCTTTATTCCCATTCCAAACTGGAAGATGCCCAGATATTAAGACTACCAAGACAGAAGATGTAATCGTAATATAATACTTTATGTTAAGCTTTACCAAATGATTTTATATCCAGTAAGATCTAAATTGAGTCTAAATTACACTGTCAATAAATAATTGAAAAATGTTGTCTTAGTTGGCTCTAGTTGGTTCAAGCTATCACAAAAAGTTATTATAGACTGGGTGGCTTAAACAACAGAAGTTTATTTCACATAATCCTGGAGGCTGAGAAGTCACAGACTTAAGACGCCACCAAGGCAGGTTTCATTCTGTGGTTTCCCCCTTTGGCTTGTAGGTAGCTGCCATCTGGCTGTGTGCTCACATGACCTCTTTGTGCATGCCTCATGTGGGGGGTCACCAAGCCCTCTGGTGTCTCTTATTATAAGGGCACTAATCCTATCATGAAGGCTCCATCCCCATGACCTCACGTAACCCTAATCATCTCCCACAGGCCCCATCTACAAATACCACCACATTGGGGGTCAGGGCCTCAACACAGGAACATTAAGGAGACAGATTCACACCATAACAAATTATTTAATTTTTGTTTTTAATTTCATTTGTTAATTATTAGTAAAATTAAGTATTTTAGTATGTTTACTGGAAACTCCTTTCTTCTTCTTTTAAAAATGGTCTGTTCTGATTCCAGATGCACAGGATGAGCCTGGAATATGTCATCATACCAGAAAGCAAGGATGCTACCACACATCAGGAGAGGCATGCCATGAGGACTGGGGCCAATTTGAATAAGCCCATCTGCCCAAAGATAAGGCAATTTGAGTGTCAAAAGGACAACAGCTGAAATGGACTGAAAAACACCATATACGCTAAAATAGAGTTCACAAAGATCTGAAAGAAAAAAGGGAAAGGGAGAGAGAGAGAGAAAGAGAGAAAAGGGGTGGGAGAAAGAGAAGGAGGGGAGAGAGAGAAGTGGGGAGAGAGAGAAAGGGAGGAAGGGAGGAAGGAAGGAGGGAAGGAGAGAAGGAGGGAGGGAGGGAATGAGAGAAGGAGTGAGGAAGGAAAGGAAGGAAGGAAGGAAAAAGAAAAGGGAAGAAAAGACCCTCATCCATCATCACTGGAGGGTGCTAGTAAACTAACTCCTGGCTTTGCAAAGATGTAAATAAAGGGAAACAGACATTTTCCCTGCCCCTTCCTATGTGATCTACATCTCAGGGTGAGCCCTACATACATTCTTCCATAGAGCAAAACATAACACCACTGTAACATCAACCAGGAAAACAAAAACATCACCTGCATTGGCTGCCAGTGTCAGGAAGACGTACCATCTGTTACTATCCACACGGACAGGGCCTAGAAAGGACGTAATGAACATACTAGTTTTATCCCCCATGGGTCCTGTATTTTTAAAAGGTACTGTGCAATTGGAGAAGGCAAGTAATGACTGTATAGCATCTCACTACACTGATGGACAGTGACTGCGATGGGGTGGGGCGGAGGGACTTGATAATATGGGTGAATGTTGAAACCACAATGTAACTCATGTGAAAGCTTTATAAGATTGTATATCAGTGATACCTTAATTAAAAAAAGGTACTGTATATTAAGTAATAACTAATTTGTTTTCCTTTTTTAAATAGAGGGATTTATAATCTCTAGTGAGAGCTCCTGATCATCATGAGGTTAAAATTTAGAATATTTATAAGCAAAATTTATTTAAAAAATACAAGACCTAAAACTCATGAAAGCAGAAAAGAGAAGAGTGGCCGCCAGCTGAGGGAGGAAGAAATGGGGGGTTAGCATGTAATGGCTACAAAGCTTCACGGCAGAAAGATGAAAAGATCTGGTGAGGGATGGTGGTGATGGTGGCACACATGCCACTGAACTGTACATTTAAAAATGGTAAATTTTATGTTATGTGTATTTTGTCCCACAAAAAAATTTAGTATGTTTAGCATATTAAAATTCAGCAACTAAAGGAACATTATCCTAGCCAAATTAAAAGAAATTTGGCATTTTAATTATATATTCCCTGTAGTCTCAACAGTCTCACTAAGGGCAAACATACAATTTCAGGAAGGTAACACTGAACATACTTAGCAGAATCCTGAAGAGGGACCAATGCAGTAACTAAATCAAACTGTTCCATAACAGAAGTTTTACTCAAAGTTTTAATGCATTTTATGGATCACATATATAGTTGGGCCCCACGATCTATCATCAGTCTTCCTCTGCCCCAGAAGAGAACAGGCATGAGACTGTAATTAACACTGTAAGTGCAGTAGAAGCAGATGAAGCACAATGTCCTAGCTTAGCCATGCTCATGGCACTCCATAAGCCTTCTAGAACTCAGGTACTCAGTGAGTCACAGCAAAACCAAGGAAATCTCATACCCTACCTAGTGACAGTGCTGAAACTCAGCCTGAAGGAAGGCTCCCAGCTCTTTACCACTCTTTCATTCCTGGATCTTAGCATCAGTGTTGGATAGTTTGATATAAAGCAGGTGTCATGTACCGTATATCCTTTAAGGGGTTAAAAAAATTTTTTTTCTATTTGAGTGTTAGTGGGGAAAAAAGTGTGAATAACCAAACAGCCACTCTTACAGGGCTATTTGAAAACTAGAAGTTCAATATGATACACCTATATTCTATATGAAGAAGTCATTGTTTTAAGATGTACAGTAGTAAATACGTTATGTTATTCTTTCTTAAGCACAGGAAGCAATCCTGGCTTACTACTCTTCTCCCATCTGAAAGCTTCACTGGGTTAAAACTGTTCCCTGTACTGTATGACTCCCTAATTCAGGACCACACACTTTCAACTCCAGAGGCCAACGGTCACCTCCCCCATCAGTTGAAAACAAAGCTACTTTGACAGCCCTTATCAAATTAGAGCACTTAAAATTCTTAAAGGAAATTCACATCCTCTTTCACACAAATTAAGTGCTATTCTTTAAACTGAGGACTAAAACACTAGATTTGGCTATTCACAATTTATTCATATACTCATTTCCAAGACAGGAAACTATCAAGAAATCAGGCAGAGGCCTGAGACCCTCCCAGTCTGACTGTGGCTATCATGGCACAATGCTGAGATCAGCTTCCAAACTGCCCCGCCAGCCCGCTCTTGCTCCCTGGACTGCAGCGTGGCTGTGTGCAAGGTGCCCTGTCACTTCACATCCATCACAGCCTCAAACCCCAGCAATCTGCGCTGCGGGACCTGATGAGCACTCTCCCGGCGCACAGCACCATTCCCAGTGGCCTTGCCTGCAAGAACCTACCAAGAAATGTAAACCTGAGACAGAGCACTAAGAAAGGGACCCCCACTCCCATTCGGATTTTTAAATTCTTCAAAAGCTTAGAAATAAATTACTTAACCTGTGCTTTTTTCTAAAACCTGCCTAGTGGGTATCCCTAAGATGCCGCTGAGCTGCAAAATATGAAGAGCCCCCAAACTGAGAAATCCAGGCAACAGCCTCCTGCAAAAGGGAGTGCCTGAGCCCAAGGAGAGAAGCTTAGAAGACTTTCTGATCGCCACAGCAATCTAGCAAGTAAGTCACATCGAGCCCCGGTAGGGCTGTGTCACCCTCATTTCCTTCCACAAAGCGAGATGGCCCTCACATTGTCAACCTTGAAGTGGTGTGACAGGAAAAAGTAGACACCTCTCGCTACTTAAGCGGTGTCAAACTTTAGCACCTGCATCATGTACTCTGTTTTTAAACCCAGGGAAAAGACGAAGGGTTGGTGTCCTAAGCGGAATCTTTGTGATTTGCCAGAGGAAACGGCACAGACCAGACAGCAGAAGCGCCAGCATTTCCATGCAGCTGCCACGACAGGTGACCGGGTCGCTTTGCAGACACCCGCTCGCTCGGGGGCTCCACGGCGGTGGGCGGGTAGGAAGGGGAAGGGGGATCCAGACCGAGACGAGAAGGTGGGTAGCCGCGGGGAGGGGAACCCACTCCATCCAGACGCAGGGGAGGAAGAGGAGGGGCGCGGCCCCGGCTCCCTGGGGAAACCGTTTTAAGGGATTTTCTGTCTCCACAATTAAGAAAAAAAAATGGCTCCAAGCCAAACGCCTCCTGATTTACACACACACACACGCACGCACGCACGCACACACACAGCAAGCGCCTCTTTCGCCTCATTTTCTTATACGTGAAACAAAGGGCTAAAACGGCGAGCAGCAGCAAGCGCCGCTCGCAGCCGTCCGCCGCCCGCTCCCCGCCGCGCCCTCGGGAGCGCCCGCCCGAGCCGCCCGCCCGCACCCAGCAGAGGGGCCTGGCCGGGGCCGGGGGCCCGTGCGCCGCTTCGAGGAGACCGGCGTCCGGCCGGGCCGGGAGGGCGCTCCGGGCGGCGCTCGGCCCTTCGCCTCCCCGCGCGGGGCGGCGACGACAGCTCCCCGCGCTGCTCACCTCCGGGCGCCGTAGCGGCGGCCCGCGCTCCTCCGCGCCGCTCCGCCTCCGCCTCCGGCAGCCCCGCGCCGCCGCCGTCGCCGCCGCCACCTCCCCCCGCGTCTCCGCCGAGTCTCCGCCTCCCTCAGCTGCGGCCGCCGCCGGGCCCGGCTCCGCGCCACGTGACCGCGCCACGTGACCCGGCGCGGCTAGCAGGCGCCTCCCCGGCCGGCCTCGCGTCCTCACGCCCCGGAGACCCGCGCCCCGGCCGCTGACGCCCGCCTGTCCGCCAGCACGCTCCGGGCCGGGCCGGGGGCCGCCACGCCTGGAGCCCTGGCCCGGCCCAAGCTGCTGCCCACCCGGCCACCTGCTTCCTCTCATGAAGCCCACCCAGCGAACGCTCCATCCCCTGCACACTCCACACCCACACGCGAGCGCACACTCGGCTCGCACATGCACGCGTGCACACGCTCATTCACACGCGCGCACACTCAGGTGCACACACGCGGGCACACGCACATCCCGCAGTCCTGGTCTCACGTCCCCATCTACACAGCCTGGGCAACAATGAAAACAAGCAATAACTGGCCCAGTTTGAACCCCACTGACCTGAGAAATCCTCCCTACCCGAGAATCTAAGGGTTAGTGTGCTGCCTGCCTTAATTTTAGCCTGCAGTGGTTCTCACATTACGTCTTAAATGAAAGCCCCTAGAAAACACAGATGTGCTTGTACTATGAGCCAATGTAGCTCCCCATGAAGCGTCTTTAATGGTGATTTCAAATAGAGTAGCTCTTTTCCAGTTGGTCTTAGGGAGAAAAGACCGACCGGATAGTATCATTTTAACTCCGGCAGCCCCGCGCCGCCGCCGTCGCCGCCGCCACCTCCCCCCGAGTCTGGAAAAGAATTCACCGCATCTTTTCCCCTCTATTAAATTGATGTTCTGCTAGGAACGGAAACTTCGTGCTTCCGTCCTTCATTTTCCATCATGTTGTACAAAGAAATAGCACTCCTGATTGTGTGACTATTCACGTATGTGTAGTTTTTAAGCATAGAAACGATCAGCACCCTTGCTTGATCTGAAGCGTGAGATACCCTATACAGTTAAGTAAAGCAGCCACTTTTGTAAGAATTCAGCACTTTTCTCTATTTTGCCAATTTGCCAAAATTTTCAGATCAACTTTAAAGAATATCTACTTCTGTGAATTTCTGATTGTCAGAAAGAAAGTAAGAGTTGGAGCAAGAGTGCTTAAATTCTGAAATTCCACGCTTGCAATTTCAGAAATGTTGGAAAATGCTACCTATACTTTTATTCTACAAAACGTAATTTTTTAATGGTGATATTTGCCTCATGCATGTATGCCCATAAATATAATGCATTTAATAGACATATTAATATCAGCATTGTTTGGTAACAATTATTTTATAAGTGCCCCTAAAATAAATTTTGAAACCTTTGAAAAATAAAACTGCATTTAGGTCTTAAGAGTACTTTAAACATAAAAGACAATCCTCCCTCGATTCAAGGTAATGAGTATTATGCTTCAGCTTAGGGCTCAATATTATGCTAACACTGTGGAGAAAACAAAGGAAATATACAACATGACCTTACCCCCCAAATTTACAACCTCTAAACACAATTACTTTAAAATATATACTTAACATTTTTTAAACTCTCTCTTCCTCTCTCTCTCTCCCTCTCTCTCGCTCTTTCTTTCACACACACACACACACACACACGCACACACACACACATTAACAGGGACCATCAAATTAAGAAAAATCTGACTCTTACTGTCAGAGTTTAAAGAGTTAACAAAAGAATTAAAGATGAAAATATGCAGTTGAAGAAATTCCTTGATGTAACAAATATGACTGAACAGATACCATCAAAACTGAACAACACAGATGCTCTTTCTTCTGCAAAATTAAGAGATATTAATCTTAAGATCACTCTTTCTTAATACTGTAGTTTTCCTTAAGACACATACATATAAACTCTTTTATTCAAGCACCATTGGGCACATGTACAGCCAACTGTCAGCAAAAATGTAAAGGCTCTCAAGTTTGTTTTCTGTTTCTATGGTTCCCCACAGTGTCGGTGGTGCCATGAATGCTCTTTGGAGCAAGCTTCTTCATTGAAGTTCTGTTTCTACCAACATGAACAAGTGATGAGAACAGTATGCCTCAGGCTGTTTCTGTAACCATACATTCAAAAAACACTATCCACTTCGCAGGACTGTTGAAAGAATTAAATGAAACACTTTATGGAAAGTACTTCATATAGCACCTGATACATAATAAGTACTCAATAAAAAATAATAGCTCAGGCGTATTACATGCTTACTAGCCATGGGCCAAGCACTGTGCCTTGCTGGTTCTTATTTTACTATTCTTCCTGTTCCCCGTCACTTTCCATCCCCACCCTCTTAGGGATCTAGTCTCTCTCTGTGCTTTTCAGGATGAAATGGTTGCCTTAAGACATTTATACTTGAAGATTTATTTACAGCAATCTATGAAATCTATTAAATCTCTTGTGAACCTTCATTTTAGTTCTTTTTTTAAAAAGAACTAATTATGAAGTGAAAATGATTGCTTCATATTTAAAAATCTGAGGCAACTGGGAGCCATTAGGAACAAGATTTGGCAATGCGGACCTTTCCACTGGCCTGTAAAATCCCATCGGTCCAATAAATCTCATTTTGTTGTGCTTAAAATACTTGTAAATATTAGAAAATATGGTAACACATTTGAAGAAATAAACCAACCCACAATAGTTAAATGATAATTCCTAGAAGAAAGTCTCTCATGTGACAGTCATCACTGGGACTCTGTTCTGGCCGTCCTTTAGCTCTAGGTTTAAGTTTGAGAAAACTTCTTACCAATCTGACAGAGCTCCCAAAAGTTCTGACAGATATGAGGTCTTTCTTTGAAAGTTATCCTATCCTTACATCTGCCTTGGGTCACACAATTAACTCAGAGCTCAAATTGGATCTGATAGGCACCTTGGTAATAAATTGTGGCATAAATATTTTACACTCATCAACATTTGGCTATGCACCTATGAAGGAGTTGAGGGCTGACACAGCAGCCAGGCACCACTGTACTGCTCTAAGGCTGGGCCTGAACACAGGGATCAGGAATCACAGTCCAGCCAGGTACCCTTCTCTCCCCTCTCCTAACACCCCTCCCTGGTCATCACTTACTCTAAGACATCCAGATACTGAAGTTCCAGAAGCTCTTCTCTCGATACCTCTTTCCTGCCTCCCTATCACCCAGCATCCCTGGTCACATCTTTCCACCCTCTTGGCCATGACATCTTTCAAAGCACGAAGTTTCTGCTGAGTCAAGCCCTTCAGTCACCTAGACACTCAGCTTGGGAGACTGGATTCTGGATGTAGGGAGATGGAAGGTGTCCATAACAAAGGAGCTTGAGCTTTTCAAGAAGGAAGATGCAAGCCCTTTGTCTTTCAATATGCCCTGACAGCCAAAAATGCCGGCACAGCTTATGGTTTATTGCTATAGGGATAAGTGAGGAAATGCCTGTGGTCCTCTGTGCTCTGGGTAGACAGCCACATCCAGACAGTTTTTTCTCAGTTCTGGATACTACCACAGTCACATTTTAAGAAGGATGTTGATAACTTGCAGCACAACCTACAATAGTTGTGAGGACTCTCACAACTTTATAATGTTATACAGTTTTATGAATAGCTGTTGAAGAAAATAGGAATGTTTAGCCTGAAGGAAACAGAAGACTATGCTGGTCAAACTTCGTAAGTTTGAGAGTGATCATGTGCGAGTATCATTCCTTTTTATTTATTGAGCTCGTGCTTTGGATCAAGTACTGTCCAAACCAAGAGCCTGTGTGTAGGGGTTTATGGGAAGGGGATTTGGTTCTGATAAGGAAGAGCCTTGTAAAGGGGTGATCCGTCAGGGAAGCGGCAGCCCCGAGCCTCCCTCTGCCTCTCCTTTTACTCTGCTGGGCTGGGCACACAGAAAACAACTGCCAAGTCCTCCTCATCTGTCAGTCCTAAAGCCTACAGCCTCTCCTCAGCAAACTGCTTCCTCTTCTCCATCCTGCAGAGTGCCTCTGGAGCAGAACTAACACCTGGACCCAAAGTACTGCTCAGATCAGTCTGGAGAGGAAAAAATTGCTGGGAAACAGATGAAGATGGCTTTAGAGAGAGGGGGAAAGAGAGAGAGCACACTTGTGGTTGTTCTCCCCGCCACCCCCACCAGAGTAAGAGGCGGTGAGCAGGCTGCCATCATTGGCCCCACAGTTGAAGCATCATTCTCTTTCTGCCCTATCCCTTCATTGCTGAGGTGATCTTTTAGGCAGCCCCAAGTTCCAACCAGACGCTGTCTGAATAGGTAAATGTAGCTGGGTACAATTTTTTCTTTAAGTGGAGCAGTGGTCTTCCAAAAAGCATGTAAGTTGCCTTAGCTAAGCAACTGCAAGTAGCACCATTGTCTTGGACAAATGGTTTTGCTGTATTTTTTTCTCTGGCAATGTCCTAAAACTGCCTCAACTCTTGATATGCAGAGCTGGTCTCTGGGAAAGAGGAGGAGTGATCTGTAAAGATCAGTGACCCCACACCTTCCTCTCTGAGGCACAGTGTCAATGGGCAGGTGCTGAGGCGGCAGAGCTGCAGAATCCCTGGCCTGCACCCGGGGCAGGGCTGCTCAGGGGAGGCAGGCATGGGCCTTGGAGCTCTCATAGAACCAGATCAAACCCAAACGTCAGCATCTGCCTGCCCTCTGGGAAGCTGCTGGGAATGACAGCCTTGGACTGGGTCGCTGAGTGAGGGCTGCAGCGTATTGGACTGAACATGGGAGGCAGTGAGGCTTGTAGCTGAAGCATAATACAGAGGACCTGACATCACTGAATATCAAATGCCTTAAGCACTTTGGTCTAACCTGTTATTCTGTTATATGTAACCTGTTGGTTAGATTCAGTTTTTGCTTTTCTTTTGAAGAATTACTGTAGTCAGAACTTCTGACGAGCAGACACGGTCACAAGGCCCAGATTATCACCCACATGGCACTTGGGGACTGGGTGAGCTGGG